GCTTTCTGGGCTGTGAGCGCATGTTGCGGGGTCATACTTGGCTCTTCATCCACCAGCACCCCCAAGTCCTTCTCCCCAGGGCTGCTCTTGATCCGCTCATCCCCCAGGCTGTACCTGTGCTTGGGATTGCCCCAACCCAGGTGCAGCACCTTGCGCTTGGCCTTGCTGAACTTCATGAGGTTCACAGGGCCCCACCTCTCCAGCCTGTCAAGGTCCCTCTGGACAGCAGATTAGCAGTATCACAATTTTAAAGTTACCTCCTAAGTCTAACAAAGAGGTGATGAAAAATGAAGAGGAGGACTGCCTTACTGAGAAAAGGGAAAAAATAAGCCTGACAGACTCTCCAAAATTAATAGGTAATATGCGACCTCTGTAAGATACACACTAAGCAGGGAGGGCAGTCCAAGCAGACTTATAGATTTACAGATTTAGTACAACCACTTCCCATGGTGTGGAACAATCCATCACAAAGCAGTTTAAGAACACTTATTGCATTGCTATCACAACCCTACTCCCATTTACTGCAATCAGATTTCAGATACATAACCAACTAGCAATCCATTTTAGACTGTACCCAGTTTATTTTCAAAGATGAATCTGTGCAAAAAAAAAAACAACCCTCAAACAAAACAAGCAGTGTCAGAGGTTCATAAGCAGTTTTGGTTTGTACATATCAGCAGAACAAACAAGCAAAAAAGGCTCTACAAGAATTATGCTATTTCTGACAAATGGAACTGCCCACACCTCTGCTTTCTTTTGAAAGCTTACCTACACAAGAATGAGTCACAACAGTGCTGTTGAACACAACAAATTTTACACGCGATTTAAGGTTAAGCACAAGCCATCCAAACACAGAACATACGCATAACAAACAGGATTTTAAACCGCTTCTCAAATGGGCATTTCAGTGCAAGACTACCAGCACCACCACCCACTTTCTTGGAAAAAGTTGTAATTCTGTACCCAGCCATGACTTTTGCTCCTTGTTTAAACAGGCACGTGCAGTCTGCCTGTGCGAACCCCAGAGGCAGCATGGTCTAGTGGCGAGTGCACCGAGCACCGCATCACATCTCAATTCTCCCTCCTTATCCACACCTGCACTGCTTCAAAATAGGAAGGGCAAGTCTTGGGAAGCAGTGTTTCATTAAGGTACTTAAGCATTAACATAAACAAATGCTACTGAAACAAATTCTGTCAGAAGCCGGATGCTACAGCTGAGCAGACCTGCTTACCAGGCAAGCTCCAATTTCTTAAGCACAGCAGAGTGCAACACAAAGTACTCAGCAATAGAAATAAAGTAAAAAAAAAAAAAAAGAAAAAAGTATTAGCAGCAACAGATACTGGGCAAGAGCAGCAAGGCTGTCTTATTTTGAAAAAGAGAAGAAGAAATAATATCTAGAAGAAAGAGCTGCCATCACTGTACCTGTTGTCTTTTGGCTGCCATTATGTTGAGCTTGTCCACTTCTGGTTTGAGGGCTTTGTACTGGATACCCAAATCCTGCTCCGTGCCAGCATTTCTTAGTTTCAAAATACCTTCTTCCACCTAAAAGAAGATATATTCATGTATTTTTCCAAGTAATACAATCCACAGTTCAGGAAGTAATTCAGAACGTACTTCATAGCAGACAGAAAAAGCAATCTTCCTCTGCCCTCTTATTTTTTGGAGGGAGACACTTCAAAGGCTAATAGTACTCAAGGCTTAGCTACCACTTCATAGTCACCAGCTACCAGACAGCGAAGAACACGCATTTGAAAGAGAATGAAGGAGTCCAGGGCCCTGGCAGAGCTGCGGCAATGGCTGTCGAAGGGCACGAGGAGAGCCCTCAAAGCCCTGCTGCAAAAGCGGGCCCAGTATCAAATCTCATTTTATTTCAAATCCTGTATAAACCACCCACCCACCCTCTTGCTCGTGGGAAGAAAAGGCTTCCTCAAATACTCCACACATTTTATTTAGTCTACCAAAGCTACTCATCCTTAGTAGCTACAAGGGAGTACTGGTTATAAAAAAGCCAAATTATTTCTTTAAGATTAAAAAAAGCTGGTTATCACCTGCAGTCGCAGACCATAGCGCATTTAGTTTCAGCACCAAGAATTCAGAATAAAGCGCAACACAAGGTCAAAAGCTATCGACAATGAGCATAAAAACAAGTGACAAACATCCATTGCCCACGTTTTGCTCAGAGAAAAAGCCCTAAAAACCTCCCTCCTCCCGAAGCGAGCCACTGACAGTGCACACACACACACGGGTCAGAACACATGCACACAAAGCCACCCGCCAGAGCACGCTGGGTGTGCCAGGCACGGCCGAGTGTATCACAGCAAAGAGCTACACTTACTACTTTCAGCTGAACAAGCAGCTTGTAGACATCTGCCATATCAGCCAAAATCAGCAGCCGGGTGACAGCAGAGAGGAGGGCGCGTGCCGCTCGGACCATGTTCCCTCGCTTCACAGAGGAGCAGGGGTCATCTGCAAACTCCCCCGAAGCGCTCTTCATCAAGTCACCTGCACAAGGGGAGAAGATGGTCTGACTTGAACATCACACAGCGTTTCTCAAGGGCTGTAAACATTCCTGGGCAAGCCAATCTAAGTCTTGAAAACACCACGCATTTGCTTAGATACAGCCAGCAATTAAGACTGTACATAGCTACCTCTAAGTACAGTTATCACACGGTATCTGGGTAAGAGGGGCTTGTGCGGGGAGGAAGGGCCAGGAAATAACACTTTGGTCCTTATTTCCAATTGTGCAGGTGTTTTAACATGCCAGAACCCTCTGGAGAAGGAAATTCAGCATGCCTTCACTATTATGTGCAGGACTGCAGTTATTTCACAAACTACAATGCTTTCAAAGCTTAAGCAAAAGCTTTGATTTGTGTGCATGTAGGAGTTAAGCAGAAAGCGGCAGAAAGGACTGTAAACAGACAAGGAAATGCCATAGCTCATGGGACTGTAAACAACTCAGAGCAATGACCTGGCTGGATATGCCCTGGTCTGCATTCAAAGCTAGACACCGCTTAGTAAAATGCTTCAATGTTTCATAGCCTGTGGGTCTGCATCTGGTGCAGGAGGAAAGAATTTGGGTTTCAGATGGTAACAATGCAATTGGTTAACTATGAAAAGCAAAGGCCACTTTACACAACAAGAGAAATTCCTCCAGAAGGCATTTGGAAAGCCTAAAAGTAATGTCTGCACATAGTCAAAGGAGTAAATTTTTGTTTCTCCCCCTGCTTTCTGCGGCAGTATTTGCTTCCAGTACCACAGTTCCTACACAGCAGCAAGTTCTGGAATCCACATTATTATTTTTGGATCTCTTTGCATTTCAGAAAAATTTGGTGAACAACCAGGATTTAGTTTAGAAAACGCTAGGTACTTGAGGCCAAAGATTTGCAGGCAGCTGGAGATGACCAAAAAGCAGGCGAACTGTGTTACAACTGCTGTGTCAGAGGCTTCCAAACCTGTACAAAAAAGTCTGTATGGCCAAACGCCCAAACAAAAATAGCACGCCTCATAAAAAGAAGAGAGCCACAAATAGTGCTTCACAAGTGAAAACTGACAGCGACTCCCATCGAGCCCACTACCAAATGGGGCTGGGCGAGATTTGCTCCAAAATCCCAAGATGATGCAGTGGCATCATCCTGCCTACAGCTTGCCGGCGCCCACAGCTAGGCAACCAGTGCAGCCTATCCCTGGTACAGGAAGCTTTTCAATTTTAACAACTTTTTTTTTAAACTACTATTTTAACTACTCAAAAATACCCACAACTGGAGAGCCTTACTTACTGTTAAGCAATTAATATCCTGCCCTGGAAGAGTTTCTAGCACCCAAGCACTCCCCACCTTCCTTCATAGCTAAATACAGCCCAAACACAGCTGCCAGCCTGTCCAACCAACTACATCAAAATACCCAGTTTTGTCCAAACGCTCCCTCCTATGTAACACCCTTCCATCATCATAAATAATATGATGAAGAGTGGCACACAACATTTTAAGATAAAAAATATGCTACCTCAGTACTGTGACATATGAAAAAAGCTTCTGTCCAAGTACAGATCAGCTATAAATATAAATGTAAAGCTATCCCTTACCCAACCTTTTGAGGAACACAACTCAGTATTTTAAAAAGTGTTATAAGGCTCAGATTTCCAGATGGGTGAAAGACGACGCATCTCCAATGCTGAAAAACTGCAAACAGCCATGAGATTATAAAACCACTACACAGCTGACATGACCCTTTCTTTATTCCTTCTGGAAGAGGATAATAATAGTGAAATTAATGTCACCACCTCAAGTATGAAAACCATTAACAATCTCAGGATTTAAGGACACATGCCAGAACGGAAATTCACTATAAATGTTTCCTCCCTTATTTACTTATATGTAAAATTCCCACTTTTCTCACTCCCAAAGGACAGGAATGCTCTTTTCACTTATTTGTTATTTAAAACAACTTAAAGAAGTGGCTACTCACTTCATCTGAGCCTCAGAAATTGCCACCAAGGTTAAAAACCAAAATTATCCTCTACCCAGCTCTTAAATTGCAACCTTACAAGTCAGTCCTGAAATAAAATGCTATTCCTTTTTAACAAGACTTTAGAAGATTCAGTAAGTTTCAAACAGCTTGTCAGGGTGTCAAAAGATAACCAGCTTCCCAGAATTAAAGGAAGATTATATTTAAAGTCGCTGCATACATATATTTCTCTGCAAATTAAGGAAAGCTGGCTTTCAGACTTCTTTTACAAAGAAAAAGCAACATGGGGTAGTTATTTTAGCTAGGCTCAAAGGGTAAAAGGGAACTCTGCCCTGGCCCAGGTATGCAGTTACTGCGTCATGTGTGCCCATTAGCAGTTCAACTTGGATCCAGCATAATCGTCTTACTTTCAAATTTGAACCAGAAGTAACGCAGCAAGTTTGAAAGCAGGATTTCAAGAGTTAAAAGAAATGCACTGCAGAAGAGTCAGAGCATGAGAGACAGATTATACAGCTGGTACGAATTCTTATGAGTAATCTGTTTTTCCAATATAACCTTAGATTTTCACTAGATATTACAAGGGAAAGATAATAAAGCAGAGTCGAGAAGAGGCAAAGGTAGCCATACTATGATCTTGTCAATAAGCACTAAGAATTCAATTAAATCTAATGGAACAAAGCCCATTTCAGAAATAGTAAGATTTTAGTCCATCAAAAGAAAATTACCATTTTCTAGTCTCATTCCCCCCATGCCCACAGGGTCTGACAGCACTATTAATCCTCCTCAGCAGCACGGTACACGATGACCATGACAGAGGGGGCTCTCTTTATACGGACACTGACGGAAAGGGAAAGCAGCAGAGATGACAGGCAAGGCAAGGCAGGGAAGACCTAGAACACACACAGTCACGGATGCCTTTTTTTCCCCAAGCTAGAAATCGGTGCCCAGACATCACCTTGTACCCTTCAGCACCTTCCAGTTCAAAGCCCATCTCCAGGCTGCTTTGCCGGCAATATCAGAAACATGAGGAGTGCCATCAGGCCCCACCTCTGCCTGCTCACAACACCCTATGACCATCCCTAGAGGCTGCCCGTTCCCCCCCAGACCAAGGCAAGCATGAAATCAGTTTCCAGACTCTACTAGACTGGATACTGTGGTCTTGTCTCACCACTAATACCACCTTCAGTGTCCACCATGAGTGTCACAACAGGCTGCCCTCACGTTCTACTGTAAAGGACAAGGCCCTGTATCTCCTTGTGCCCTATCAACGTGGGAGGTGATACGTACAGAAACAAAAGCTTCTGTTAATTCCTTAATCCTGACTTCAGCTAAATCCATATACTGCCCTCAACACTCCTCCTGCAGTTTGCCAAGAGCCATCTCAGAGCTCCCTTACGTTATGGCTTTTCAAAGATCTCGAGCCCTTGGCTGGAAGATCACTTCCAATACCAGTGGTACACTTCTAAAACATTTTTTCTTGCAGGAAAACAACCGAGAACTCCTTCTACTCTTCCAAGAAATTAAGCTAACTGGTCGTAACAGAATTTAAAAGTTGAGTTTTCCAAGAAGAATTCAGTGTTTAACTTCAAGTTATTCTGCAACTGGCCTCCTCCTGTTCCTTGGAAATCCTTAAGCCACGCATCTGATGTGAAGCACAGTTGAAAAAAATGCTTTACCCTTTCATGATTTGCCTCACTGTTCAGTTTTGGAGAAAGCTTCACTCGGAAACACAGGGTGGAAAGACACCATGCTGAATCAGTAGGTTCACTCCCCTGCATTTGCAACCATAAAACAGGATCAAAGTCCGCAAAATGCACAAAACCAATCATCCATTCTTACCTTAAGCACAGGCTTAAGCTTTTTAATTTCAAGCTTTACTTTCTGGTCTTTTACGTAAAATTACCATAGGAAGAAACACAACCGTAAGAGCTCAGCTAACACCCAGGATCCTCACACTAACACACACGTATAGAGGCAGCGAGCTATGGTCATCAGTACTCCAGGAGAACTACGTAAAATTACCATAGGAAGAAACACAACCATAAGAGCTCAGCTAACACCCAGGATCTTCACACTAGCACACACGTATAGAGGCAGCAAGCTATGGTCATCAGTACTCCAGGAGAAAAGGAATAGCCTGGTCAGCGTGACACGAAAGAAGTTTCCTTCTCGACCTCAGAGTTTGCAACTCATCTCAGTGCCAAGCACTGGGGTAAGAAACCAGTTTGGTTCCAAACCACATCCCAGCAGCACCAGAAGAGCTGACCATTTCAATGTACAGTCAGTCTTCGCTGCTTCATACGAATGTAAAACCCTACAGAGAGCTTAGAGTGGGGAAGATAAGACTGCGCAAGACCAGTATTGTCCCTTCCATGACCCAGCAAAACTCCAATGGCAGAAATTAACCTAACAAAGGCTGTAAGGATGCTGAAATTACACCAGACATTTTCCCAGTATTAAGTCTTTTCTATAACCACAAGAGGATCTACTCTGAAAAACACTTCGGTTCTTTGTCTCCACTATTCTGTTCAAAATTTTATTTTAAGGTATTTCATGACTTTAAAAGTCAAAAGTCCAAAACCTTAAAGCGCCAGGAGTCTTTAGGTTATTTCATGAACTAGTTTAATATTTAAAGCAGGTTGTAATTTATTCTTCCATTGCAAAAATCAGGAAGACTTTGAAGATCCACTTATATTGATTTAGTATGTAGCCGTACTATCATTCATTCTAAATAGCTCTTTTCACTTCTTTGTTTTTACCCCCAACAAATGGGATTTTATGAACAAGCATGCTCACTAAAATCATGTACCCTCTTAATCTTCTTCTTGCTAGGCTAAAAAAAAATTTTTTAATTTTCTCTGATGAGACAAATTATCTATTGTCCTAATCATCTTCATAACCTCTGTCTACATTCATTCATCTTTTTTTATTATGGTAACTAAACCGCTCCCTACTCTAAATAGAGACGTTATTAATTCTATTTTCCTGTCTTCTGCTGAAGATAAATGGTGCTATACATCTATAATCCCACCACTGCTGTCAGACACACAGATGCTGCCAGTTCATGACCACCCTACTGCTGACCAGATTCTCCTCTCCACTTTTGCCTCCGCATTGCAAAAGGCAAATAAAGGCACCAACACCCGGAGGTTTTGCACAGGCTTTGTATTGCACTTCCCTCATTTCTCCAGTTCATGAATTCAACTGGTCTACCACAATACTGGAAATGCTTCGGAAGGGCACGGACTGTACACAAACACGCACACTGAGTGTTTGTATCTCCTTGCTATCAGTCATTAGCGCTACTGAGAACTGCAGCCCTCCCCGGGGCAGTGGCAGCAGTAAGCCTTCCCTCTGTTGTATCTCATTTTTCACTGTTTGCTTCTCATTTCCTCAAAGGTTTGTTTGTTTTTTAATTTCCTCACAAAGAGCTGCTCTGCTAAACCTGATCAAACACTGGCACCGCGATGGGGCACAGGCTTTTATCGCCGGTCGTGCTGCCCCAGCAGCCCAGGCCTGCTGCCACCGCATCCCCACAAACGGCAGTGGGCACCAGTTGTATTCAGGCAAATCACTCCAGTCTAATCCTCACCCCCCCAGCTTCAGAAAAGATATAGCTAGCTCCCCTGCACACCAGACTTCAGGCAAGCTGCAAACAGTAAAGAGGGAGGAAGAAGTCAAACGACATTAAGGTGAGAAGCTGTTTCACTCCAGCACCTCTCAGCTGTGAACTCCACCTCCTCTGTCAAAGATCAACAGAGCAGGGACATTTTGGCACCAAGTCTGTGCGTAGCCTCAAAAATCAAGCAGGGGCCAAGAAACAAGAGAAAGGGTCATCCTGAAGGTTTTTCTGTCAGTCTCTCCTTCCTACCAGCTTCTCGCTATAATACACAACTACAAATCCAGCTAAGGGAACCTCTCAGTCACGAGGACTGAGTACAGCTCCCTCGCTCACTGCTATAGCTAAGGTATTTGAAGGTACTCACAGATGAGCTCTGACTCTCAAGTCTGAGCAGCAATCAAGCAAGCACCAAGAATTAAAGGCTTCAAGACAAAGGGGTCTCTCTTGCTGCTGTTTGTTGTTGTTAAATTAAGCCAACTCAATTAGCCCCTTATATTGCAGCCTTCTTATGTCGATCTTTCTTTGGTCTGTCAACCAGGCTCATCCAGAACTTAGAACCATTTTCAACCAATATTTCATCGCTGTGCAACTTCAGCTACAGACAAGTAATTAATGCTAATGAGTTTTCCTTTTTTTTGCAGCAGCAGCAGCAGCCATCACCATTAATACCAGTTGACTGGGTTTCACTGAAGCATAGAAAAGGCTCATGACTGGAAGAATGATAAATGATTTATGAGCAACAATATTTACTTTGGAGTAAGCCAGCTCCATAGGCTTTTCTTGCAGGTCCTCTCCAAGACAGGAAAAAAGAAAATGATAAAAATCAACACTAGATGTGGGGGAGGAAGCCTGGAATATTTAATCGAGGTCCTCGCGTTCTGTTTGTTGCTGTTTACATTTTGCATATTCAAGACACCCGGCTCTGTCAAGTCAACACTCAGCTCTTCCTCCTACAATGCTGTTTTGTACACATTCAGATATTGAAGAAGTTATTGACATATTTGAGACATAGTTCCATAATGTTTATAGGCAGGCAGGGAGTTTACTTTTTAACCTAAACAGAGTTTTAAGCGCTCTTCAAAGAATTGTCCCTTCTGCTTCTCTTTGCAATCTCTACTTGGGACACCCAATTTCCAGCTCTGTCCAGTTCATACTATCGCTCAAGGAAGCCAGCAAGACCCACCCAAGGGGAGAGGCGCAGTCATTGGAAATAACAGCAAAACAGAAACAGTTCTACTTACCCCGAAAAGCCCACAGTTTTTCGAGCTATCAGGCACACAGCTCTTACCTTGCTTACGAACATCTTCCACAGCCGCTACTAGCTCCTCCTTAAGGAACTGGCTCTCCTTTGCAATTTTGTCTCCTTTCTCCAGGAAATTCTCTGTTGCTTGTTCAACTGAAGCAGCCAAAACATGGGCCTTTTTCGAACGCCCTCGCTTTTTATTAGAGGGGCCCTTGTTGCTAGTGTTAACCAGTGTTGTTACCTAAAAGGTACAGATGGAGGGGAAAAAAGCACCAAAAAAAATGAAACAAATTAGAAGTTTATCTATTTGACAGCAAGGTCACAGGTATTTTTTTCTAGACAGTGTACTGCTAATACCAGCACTACTGCCAGCTCCAAAGGTTAAACTCACAAACAAGTGTTTTTCACGTCTCTTTAAACATTACCATGCTTCTTGATTCCTTAGATGAGCATTATAAATTCAGCTAAACTGCTTAGAGATTTTCCTTATCAGCAGCAGACCTGAAAATTTGACTTTAAGAACTGAGTTCTACTTGTATTTCTGACGAACTACAGCCTCAGTAACAGGCCAGAGCCTTTTGGCACCACATAAAAAGAAACCAAGTTGGGAATAATTGGTTTGGGGTAGCTCCACAAACAAGGTTGAAGCCATTATCTACAGACATCTAGCAACACAGTATCTTTTCAGTCCCAAACAGCACTATAGCCAACGGGCTAAACGCAGAGCAAAGGACTTCCTAGATCTCGTTATTTCCCTAAAATAACCAGAACTGAACTCTCACAATCCTCCTGCACTCAAGAGAGACTTCAAGTTTTACGTTTGAGACTGAAATCCTTTAGGAGCTGCTCACCAGCAGGCAGATGACCACCAGGTACTCCATTAGCTCAGGATTAGGATCCATCCCCTTCCGTCAAACACGGAGAGATGTCACAAAATCCACACACACCTTTCCATTCACCTTCCCCCCCCACCCCGGCCTTTTTTTTGTTAAGTCTAGGAAAATGCACACAAAGCTACTTCAGAGGGACATTAAATTACAACACTAAAAACGTTACTGCTCTGGAAGACCCGAGGACTGCTGATGTAAAGGTCCACAGAGCAGAATCCATCTTCTCAGTAGGCTGATTCAGAGAGGGAAAGCGATCAGTTGGGAATATTGCTGTGGGTTAATGGGAGCATTTGTATGGGGTAGCCTCAGTTCATCATGTACTACAAATAAAGAACGAGTTGCAACAAGGCAACTCACTCTACTTTGCTCTCTGTATTTTGCTAGTCACGTCATTCACAAAATTTGTTATTACCAGTACAGCCTATTGTGCTACTTGATAAATACATTACAGACACCAAACTTGGACAAAAAGGTCCTATAAACAAGTTTGTTCATTTAAGTTTCCCAAATTAGGACAATTTCTCTTAAGGAAAGACTCCATCAGTAACTCCAGCTAAAAAGCTATATAGCAGATCATCCAATTGCCCATCTGGAGGGAACAAACGGCAGGTACAGACAGCAGCCTGGTGATTAAAGGGATGTTCGTACTGGAAACAAAACTTCATCATTGCAGTTTGTGCTTAGCGGAAGTGTCCAGCTCACACTGTCATTTAAAATATTCCCTATTTCACAAAAACAACACTAAAGAAGATGAATTAGCTGTCACCAGTGCACCTTCTCTTCCAGACCTCCAAGGAAGTCTCTTCCAAAATCTTCAAAATGCCCAATACATACAGCTTACATTTACAAGCTCTAGCTTTCCTGTATTCTCCAGTGCATTTCACTGGGCAATACACCACGCAGAAATAAGCTTTTATTCACAAAACCAGCACAAAGCATAGGCGGAAAGAAAGCATGCACATCTTGTAAAAGATATACTGAAACCGTAAGGAAGGCCATAAAAGCATACTTCTGGGGTGGAACTCTGTTAGGAAGGGTCAGTAGTCTATTTACAACACAAGGCCGTTCTAGACAGGTTGCGAACATCCCCCACCACTCATTTCACCATTTCCCTGAACCTCCTTCCAAAGGGAACTCTAAACACAGGTAAACCCAAAGAAAAAAAAACTTAGGAAACCCTACTTCTTGCAAGTACTAACTAAAGCCTTTTGTCATTCCCAAATACCCTTTTCTAAACAGTACATAGCACAGCTTTTAAAGACTCAATAAATGAGCAGCATACCACCCGAAACGTAGGTGAGAGACAGCACAGCAGCAATGGAATATCAGTTACTAACATGCATTTCTGCACTTCTAATTGAAATACTGTGTCTTATCAGGTGCTGAAGAAGCACAGTCTTTCTAGACTCATGCCCAATAACTCTGTTACAATAAAACTGAACAAAGAAAACACTTGTGCACTTCTTCCCATCTTCAGTTTTTTAGTGTTTTTACTTCTGAAATTTAAGCTTTGGAAGTTACTTAACTGAATTAATACTTCAAAACAGGTCAAGAACCTTATGAAAGTTCCCCCCCTCCACGTTTTCCTACCTGTGTAACAAGAGGCTCAAGTAGTCTTTCAACCGCCAGCGTTCTTATCTCCAAGCTTTTGGGGTCCCATTTGAAGTTAACGTTGCCTGCAGTAACAGCAGTCATTTCTAGAAGAAAAGAGTTATATGAATACAATTTTTTTTTTTTAGTTAGTGCTGTCTATGTATTTTTAAAATAATTTAAAACAGAGGCTATTAAAGAGACAACACGGCCATTCAATGCAAGTTAAGGTTACACTGTCTCCAGAAGCACCAGTTCTGGTTCAACTGGTGATAGTTTAAAAAACTGCTTGTTATGACAGTATACAGAAGTTACCTGTATGTTTTGGTTAGTAAATAAAAACAAAACCAAACCAAACCACACCAAGACCTATCCAAACACCGCAGTATTTTATCAGAGCAGTGACAAGACAAGCAACGTTCAGTCTACTCATCAGAGGTCCCCAAGTGAGGGAAACAGACCTCACAGGTAAAGGGGCACCCAACGCACCAAGCTGGAGGCTAAGCAAATAACCCCTTCCCAGTTTCCACTGCCTCCCCCAGGGCCAGCCGTCCTGTGCTCCCAGACGGGCTTGGGACACAGCCCAAGGTCCTGGGGGAGCAGAAGGGAACAGCTCAACTTCAACAGCACCAGAAAGCTGCCAGTTTTCACAGCTTCACCATGAGTCACTACCCCAAACACTTTGTCAAACCACGAGTGACGTTCTAACTCAACTCATCCAACCTACCCGCTCAGACAATTCACCTTTGCAAGCACAAAGGTAAAATCACAGAATCATAGCGTGGTTTGGGTTGGAAGGCACCTCAAAGATCATCTAGTTCCTACCCCCCTGCCATGGCAGAAACATCTCCCACTAGACTAATATTCAAAATTGCCAATATAAAGCCAGAAAATCCAGTTGGTTCATATTTAACAGATTATGTATCTACTACACTTCCCCTTAAGATTTACATAGGAGGGAAAGCAGATTTGCATGAAGAGATCTGTTCAAAGCTGTCACTGAGCCATTCTGTCCCATTACAGTTTTGTATCAACATCCCAACGGAACAACAAATATGACTGCGGGAAAAGTTTAGTAAAACTACTAGGACAGCTCTGCTTCTGAAACCAGTAGCCAAAAAAAAACGAACTACAACAGAACCCAGCTCTTCCTGCCTTGGGTTGCCCTCAAAAGTCAAGATTAGACTAAATCCACATTTGTAATCTTTAAAAAAGGGGGGAAGGAACGTACATTTCCAAAGTCTTCTTCCACTCCTTTTTCTTAGCACCTACTGTTGAAGTTGTTTTAAAAGCTTATTAGCCAATATTTTTAAATCCGACTCTGGACAGGGCACTGTCTGCATAGCATCTCAGCAGACAGATTGCTCTGACAGCACCAGATGTCCCCAAGCTGCCAGACGAGCACAACGTCCCATTGTTTTTCAGAAGCAGGAGGCAAGGCACTAATTTTGGTAACCAACGATGTTTACAACACATACCAACAACCAACCGTTCTATACTGACGCTGACAGTTAAACATGCAGAAACAGCACAGACGTGGCTGCTTGTTTCCCATTGAAAAATAAAACCTCTCAGGCACTCGAGAAGCTCAGTCTGAGAGGGTGACAAGAAGTCAGGGCTTAGTGTCACCTGGCTTCAGCCAACAGCACCTTCCCGGCAGGCTGATCCCGAGACATTACGTCTGCTCTCTCACACCACGGACACCACACAATAGATTAAGTACTCACAACACTACTAAAAACACATCTTTGCCCTGAAAAGCCTACACGCTGTCATACACTGAAGTACAACTTTGCAAGGTGCAAAGCAGGAACATTCACCTGACCTGCATTCAGCTTTCCACTTACGCCCACGCTCCGCATGCCCACACTGCTGGAGAGACAGAAGACTCAAAAAACTGAAAGCTTAAAAAAAAAAA